ACTGGAATCTTTAAACCTTTAAGTTCAGTCGAAACGCCTAACTTTCTTTTGAATTTTTTTCGCTAGAATCCGCTAATTTTTTCCAAGATCTGTACTGAAGACTTAAAAATATTACTTTTTTAATGTCTGGTTGTTCAACAGTTGTGTTCGTTAATTTGCATACGGACAGCATGAAATACCTCAGATTTGCTGTTCTCGCCTTTTACATGCGTACAATGGCTGATCAATAACAGTATGCTTTATTTCATGTATTAGGAGACGTTAATTTCCCACACACGAGATTACTGTGTGATGGATGTCCTCCCCTGGGGTGGGATGGGTGGGAGGGTGGACTAGCACGAATGGTTCCTATGTTCCTTTCTAGTCCTTCCCCACTGCAAAACTTAATGCAGTGAAAATGGACAAAATTAATTTAAATTAAATTAATTAAACTTGGTATCGGTATCGTGCCCAAGTATTATCCAGGGGCTTCATATATGTTTTCTGTAGGAGGGCAACTGGTTTTCACAGGCGGCCAAAACTCTTTGAACTGAACTTCTTTACTAGATAAACTTTCCTCCAGACTGTCAAATCAGGTGAGCAAAACCGTCCTCACAACTGGTCAATTTGCCCGGTGCTTGGCCCTTAATGAAACCCATGATTATCTGAGGTAAACTAACGTTACTGTAAAATACTGGGTGACATTACCTAATTACCCATTACGTTGCTTAAAAACAGCCAAAAATTTATGCTTGGCAGAAGGTCACTTTGGGAATATTGAAGCAATTTATATACTTTTGTTCTCCAGGACAAAGCAACACAATGCAGTATTAAGCAATGAATAACAAAAGAAAAACGCGTGCCCAATGCGCATCTACTAACACGTATTTTTACACGCGCACACGCAAAAAATGTGTGTGCAACTTACGCGTGTGAGGTTCGAATATATCTGAGCTGTACTGTAAGTGAACAGTGTACTCATCGATGTTTAACTGGTTACTCGTCCAATCCAATCCAGACAACAGTTCACCAATTAATTTCTTCTAATTGCTTAGACTGTTGCCGTTTTATCTGTATCCAAGCAAGACAGAAGTGCATGACCACATACACGTAGACTCCAGCAACTGGACGCCATCTTGCCTCATGGCAAAAACTCATTCCCAGGCTCTTCTGGGCTTTCAACTTGGCTAAGAAAGTGTACTTCAACACTACAAGAGTTCTCTTAGTGCATTTGCTGCAAATTCACATGAAAGAAATCGCATTTTCTATGGGTTGAAAGTCAAACGTTTGAGACATTCTTTTATCTTTAATTCAAGGCATCTTAAGCTGAGTGTTTTCATTATATTACTCCAAGGAGTACAGTACTCGTCCAGTCGGACGAGTGACTTTTGGGATCCACTCGTCCGTGGTGAAGAAGTAGTCATCTCAGACGGGCAGACATGTGGAAGTTTTTCGCCCTGTTTAGTCAAGCTCCTAGTGTTTATTCGAGGTGCCTGTGTTTAATTGAGGCATCAGCGTTTAATCGGGTCAAGGCACTGAGTCACACTAAAGTATACTCTAAGTGATTTCTCTGGAGTGAAGTTCCCATAACATACAGGTACAATAAGAATGCAGCTTTATTAAGAGGAGTATTGACTTATGGTAACTTTTAACCCATTTGCTGGCTTCTACAGTATGTTTTGTCACTTTGTGGCATACAGTTCCATATGTAGTGTAAACATAATCATCCTCGGAGATCCTCGGATAGTTCCAAGAGGGACGAAACTCTTGATGGATTTGCAACCTAAAATAAATATATAACTGGCTAAAAGAGATATAGTTTTCATTGTGTTCTAACCAAAACACAAAAATATCTATTTCAGTTTCATTGCTCCCACTGTAAAAGATAATCAACTTGGTTCCTTAATGAATCTGCAAACATTTTTCTTATCCACATGTTCAACCCTGGGTGACCAATATTATTGTGCTTGCAGAGAGGAAATGGCCAACTTCCACATGATTTGGCTATTGATTGCATTAAAAGCGATACTGACCAACCTGGCTTTGAGGAAAGGTTCATCAGTGATTACATTGGTATGATAAGACAATTTGTTCTTTTGTTAGTGAACTAAGTACTGCATATATGCACAATAGTGTGTGTTCACGAGACATCACTGTACAGTGGCCATATGCATGTTGGAGGAGTAAAAAAAAAAACCTTTCTGGAGGCCTAAAGGGTCTTGGGATTTATGCAAAATAATCAATTATTGCTTTTGATTCAGTGAACCAATATGGCAGCCAGTCACATGAGTGCATGAACACACTCGATCTATACATTGCAAGTGGATGTATGGTAATTTTGTGCATGTTGATTGCTTAATTGACATAGAGGTGATTAGCAAAGTACTGTTTGCTTATGAGCAGTCAAATAAAAGCAAAAGAAAATACTGAGAAACTCCAAGCTGTGGCCATTTTAATTGCCATGGCAAGTACAAAAAATTGGCAGGTAAAATTGTGTTAGAAGTCACCAACTTGCTAACCTAGGTTTTGTAGTCATTTGCCAAGCCAGTGTGCAAGGAAAGTTGTGTCCGATAGCTTGGGGCTAGTTTTTTTTAACCATCAGTAGCCCGATGGACTAGTGAAGTTTTCTTTGAGGGGATGTTTAGTTTAATGTTGTGTTGTACACTTTGGCTAGTGAAAAAGAAAGATGATTTCCTTGCAACCTGCAAGCTGTATTTTTTTTGTTGATTTATTCTCATACTTCATGTTCCATACAGAGTTAAAGTGAGTTAAACGTTTTAGTAAAATTATTATAATTTATTGTTATTACTGATTTTCTATACTTTCGAACACGTAATTTGCCCCTTTAACCCTGGTTGCCCTCCATAAAATGTGGCATTCATCAACACATTTGATTGCAAGGATTGTGCAGCCATTTCTTATAAAGATGAGTGGTACAGTTTACCAACATGGTTCTATACATTATTCCTTATCCAATATTTCACAATTATGTATTATCATATAGTGCCTCTATTAAGTGGTCAATTAATATTCAATGGCTACTAGGTGTCAAACTAATGATCTTAATTGTACTAGGACTATCTTTGATGTGTTCAATTTGTTTTATTCCTTAAGGTAAAGGTGTATTTGCAACCAGAGAATTTAAGAATGGAGACTTCTTGTTACAATACAAAGGAGAGCTTAAGAATTTAAGAATGGAGACTTCTTGTTACAATACAAAGGAGAGCTTATCTCAGCCAAGGAAGGAGAACAGCGTGAAAAGGAGTACTCTCCAGAACAAGGAAGCTTCCTCTATTTTTTTCAGTGGAAAGGAGCTACCTTCTGGTGAGCTAAATTCTCAAGAAAATATGGCAACTCAATTCAAACAAACAAAAACAATCATTTTCAAATACATTGTAGAAGTTTGATGATACATTATATTGCAGTTTTAGAAAGGGACAAAATATTGGGTGTCTTAATTCATCTGTATGGAATTCAATCTTCAGTTAATGCTTGCATATCTTCAGCTCATACTTGTAGTCATTTCCCATACTTGCGAAGAATTTGGGGAATTTTAATTTCAAATAAGAAAAGTACCCCCCAAAAAATTAAAACCATCCCAAATTTCTACAGTCCCTTACCAAACTGAGTGATATGGGACATATATGGCCCCTGTATGGGTCTGATATGGGAAAATCTATGGGCCATATATGGATTTCATATGGTTTTGATATGAGACACTACACACCACATTGAACCCATATGTTGCCAAATACTGCCTCTCTATTGTCTTTTCTATGGGAAAGATACGTATTTCGTAAAAATCCATACTTTTGCCATACATGGGAATGACATGGGCAATGGGAATGGTATGGGGTGATTGTTGTGTAAAGGTATGATATGGGAGTGGTATGGAAGCTTAAATCAGTTCCATATCAAACTGACGTCTATGGGAAAGATACGTATTTCGTTAAAATCCATACTTTTCCCATATTTGGGGATGATATGGGCAGTTGGAATGGTATGGGATGATTGCTATGTAAAGGAATATGGGGATGATATGGGAGCTTACATTAGTTCCATACCAAACCCACATCTATNAAAAGTTCTCTCCCCTCTTACCCCCAGTGATAAATAATAAAAGATGGAAAGTTACAGGCCAGGAAGTAGAATAAAAGAACGTAAATAGTAACAGTTCAAACTGTACTGTACATTCGCCCCCGCCAACCATCGTCCCCCTCCCCTCCCCCCCCCGAACAGTTAAAGAATCTATGGCAATTTGAACTAACCAAATAATGTAAACTTACAAATTAACCTGTCTATTTTGCTTTCCGAGGGAGCAAGAGGGGAGAGCTTGGAATTGAAGAGGTGGGAACCTTGTTTCAGGCCACAGATACATTGGTTAATATTTATATGTTATTGACCGAGCAGGTAAGACGGCCCATCCTGCCCTCTTGGGTAGCCAATCAGAACACAGGATTCACCTTATCTTGCTTACGGATTTCCCGCTTGAGAAAATAATTCATGATCTCTTGTGTCACCATTTAAGGTATAGGAAGGGATCAAGAAAACTGTGCTATTAGAGGCTTGGAATTTCACTCACACCCATAGGGGAGAGAGTTGTTTTAAGCTGTTCGGTCAAGACAGTCTAAATTTCAGTCTTTTAATTTGTTCTCCTCTATCGTTATCGCATACATCAGCTTAGGAAAGGCACAAAATATTTTCAATCAAAGTATATGAACGAAGCACCTTCTGAGTTTAAAGTGGGCCTATAAAGATCCACATACATGTATAAGACATGCGGATTTATGATCTTCCTAAGATAAGAACTTATTATGAAAAATTCAATATCCTGTTTCAAGGACTTGTGATTTGGGATTCAATAAATGAACATATCCTCATACGCGCAACTGAATTAAAACGCCATCTTATCACCAACAGTTTTTAGTTCAAGTAGAGGAATGACTTAGGTGAGCTACAATTTTAGCAGTGACAGATAAGAAGCCTGAGGTTTATTGAAGCAGTATGTACTCAGTCTTCTGTTTTTTTTCTAAATTAAACTCCATGTAACTAATTTTATCAAGTGTACTCGTACATTTACATTGCAAACTTTTTATTTCAACTAGCGACCATAAACCGGATGCAAAATTATACTGATTTACTTGCAACCTGGCATTTTTAACTAATTAACGTTATTTCGGGATGTCGGTCACTCTTCATTCTCATAATTTTGTGATACTGGAACAATTGTAGCTGCAGTTAAGGTTAAACATAAATAAAGTACTAAGTATGTATAGAAAGGTTGGGAAATAAGTCCTTGAAGGAATAGCAAGTAGCCTCCCAATGTAAAGACCCTGCTAATGAAATACCCCATTATGGAGCAGAGCGGCTTTTGTTTGCGTGCATGCATGCAAAGCTTTTTTCTTTACTTTTGTTGCTGTTGTAGTTTTCACGGAATCGTGCGTTGGCCTCCAGGTGCAGGTATTGGGAAAACGGCTATAGAAAAATACTAAGCATTGCAGAATGAAAAGAACGGATTAACATCGATGGAATTAAAGGAAATTGCGAAATGTCAGATGGCAAGCAGCAAAAGTTTTCGGTCAGTTTTTGAGCAAGTATTTACAAATCGATAAGAAATTTCTAAACAAAAAGGAATACTTTATCTCTTTTTTTTTTTTTTCAGTTTGTGATTAGGTGAGAAATGTGTGACTTTGCCAGCAACTTTTGGTAAAACAAGCTCTTGATCAAACGGATCTGGCAAAATATGTAATTACGAAACAAGTGAGCCAATATTGAACGCAGAACAAAACAATTTAATCATTCATATACGTTATTGTCTTTCGATAATTGAGAGATTAAGCAAACGTCTCTCCCAAGACACGAAAGGTATCTGGAGAAATCGAATCATAATTTTTTTTTCTAAACCAGATATTCGCTTTTCTTGTTTTCCTCAATGAAAACTCAGAAACGTAGATTCCTGCCTGCCAGACACGAGCTCGCTAGGTAAGATTCTTCTTTTGCTTCCTCGATCTCTCTTGTCATTATTGTCTGACTTTTCAGCTTGTCAGTCACAAGAGATGTAATTCTTCATAAGATCTTTTATTAAAAATAGCCTTGTTGAATCATCCTCGAAGACTCGAACTCTTTACGAAGTAAAAGTTCGGTCTTCAAAACTTGCATATTTTTAATGTCAGCAGACAATTTTCTGCGAATTGAAAGCGGCAACGGTTGCCGCTTTCAATACGCAGAAAATTGTCGGCCGACACTTTTGACATATTTTTCATTATCATTTATTCTGCATCACTCGTCGTTTCAAATTCGTTGGGCTTTACGTCGACGTGACAATTACCTCATACATTATGATGTATCAGACAGCAGAAGGAAATGAACTAGCTAAAACTTGAGATAACGATACTAGTTTTCTTTGTTAGTTGATGACTCGGGAGTTATTAACCTACAAATTTAACGCCACGGCTAAGAACCAAAACGACTCGTTTTAGTTTCTAATCGAAGCGGATTTGAAATTATGTTTTGTATGCCAGTCAAACACAAGTCGTGGAACTCATGTGTCTTGGCTCTCGGCTCCCCGCCGAGACACTACATTTTGTCTCTGTACATGTGCTCACAGTTGAACAACAGCCTTACACTTTTGCTCAGTTGATCCCGTAAGCAATGCATTAATGTCTTAATCTTTTCGAATTAATAGAAACGACATCAAGGATTTATCTCGAGCATGTTCTATGGCTCCTGGTCTAACCGCAACCTTCTTGTAACCTTAGTTTGCAATAATGTTTCAAGAATTCAGTCAGCTTTGGAAGTGCTTGAACAAACTTGAACTCTAGATCTGGTGAAAATGTTAATGCGGGTGGAAGTGAATAATATTTATTCCTTTATTCATTCTATTTTTAGAGACCAAATTTGGTCGCGTTACACGGCAATTGTCCATTCTGCCTTGTTGTTATAGTAACCGTGATGCTACGCAGGCGCCAAAGTTATTTTAATCTGCAAATTCAATAGTAGACAAAAATAGAACTTGCAAATATTCTTACGTAATAATGCATCATGATCAGACAAAAGAAAAAAATTCATCTCGTTGTTGTCACGTTCAAAGTCTTTTTAATTTCTAAGGCATTTTAAAAATGAAGTGAGTCTCTTAAATTTAGTGCGTTTGAGGAAAAAGCCTCTCTGTACGTCCGTGTTGAAACATCGGACGCCCATTAGTCAATTTTAACTTGTGTCAAGATTGCAAGATAAAATTGATAAAGATCTTCTTATCCCGGATTATTCTATTTTTGTAGCCCGTCGTGTAACAACAAAAACACCGAGAACCTTACTTAAGATAAAAGATTGCTTTTGTTCCAAAACATCAAGCTCACGTATTCAATGTTTTTTACTTGTACTCGAGACAACGGTTTTCACTTCCGAAGGAAACCTTAGTAATCGTATCAATTGCTCCTGTTAATTCTAAATCGAAAACGAACGACACAAAGCGAGGAAACAATACAAAATTGCCTTCAATACAAATCGGTCAAACAAAGCCCCTTGAGGGAACTTGTCAGCTCATTTCGTTTGTCGCTCAAGAGGCTAAAAGTCGATTCACTTTCCATTGTGTTTTTCCTTCGTCGACTAGGTGCTAAGCTAATTTACGAAAAGAAGATTTAATTATTTATTTTTACACCTTTGTACCACCAGCGTGTTTGGTTTTGTTAATACTTCCAGGTATGTCGTCGAATTGGATTGTACTTTTTTGTGGGAATTGCTTAAAATGGTCTATTTTTGAAATGTTCAAATGAGCCCCTATTGTCTTGCCTGAGCCAATCTCTGCCTAGCCACTCTGATAATCTTATGAGAGCCCTTTGAGCGAAGTATGACATTTGTATCTCCGGTTTAATGCATTTCCATATTTTTGTTTAGTTCTCAGGGCCTAAGTTCGTCTGTCTCCACCCTCAAAATCGAGCGGGACGATTGTGAACTAATCTGGACAAAATGGTTTATAAGAAGAAAATTTAATTCCATTTCATCTCGTGCGGCGCCTACAATGAAGAAAACATTGAACATGCTTATGACAACATGTCTTTTCTGTTGGCTATGTCGGCTTGTCTTCACCCAAAACACAAAAGAAAAAACTGAGAGTTTAAGCTATGCCTTTACTAAAGGAGATTTCGTGATCGGAGGTTTATCGCCAGTTCATTTTTCGCCCACGGAGGCTGAAGAACAACAAAACCCGGATTCTTTCACTTGCCAGGGAAGACTCAACACAAGAGGCTTTGAAGCGGTGGAAGCGATGCTTTTTACTATGGATATGCTAAATGAAGGGCCACTTAAAGATGTTGTGCTGCCAAATATAACCATAGGTATGGACATAAAAGATACGTGTGGTAGCGCTGATTACGCCGTCCGCGAGTCACTGAATTTCTCGTTTATTCGCAACGCGCACGTTAAGGATCAGTGCGGCTCAAGTTACGAAAAGGAAAAGTTTCAGACCATTGCTGTGGTCGGTGCAGCTTACAGCGGAGTATCAATGGCGGTTACAAATCTCTGCGGCTTGTTTTACGTGCCCGTGGTTAGCTACGCATCGACAAGTAGTTTGTTAAGTAACAAGGTACGATTTCGTTACTTCTTGAGAACTGTACCTAATGATATGTTACAAGCAAAAGTGATGGCGGATCTTGTTCGAAAGATGAAGTGGAACTACGTGATAACTTTGGCTTCGGAAAGCGAGTACGGCCGATCTGGTATCGAGGCCTTTAAACGAGCACTCGACGGCTTCGGGGATAGCTACGACGTTTGTATTCCTGTGGATAAGCGATTTACAAAACGCTCTACAGATGCAGAATTCGAGGAAATATTCCAGAAGATGCGAGCAAATTCTAAGGCAAGGGTTGTTATTCTCTTTGCACAGCTACACGACGCGAAGATTTTGATAGACAAATTTCGTCAGCATGAGTCAATGTCGAAAGAAAAGTACGTTTGGATAGGTTCAGACGCTTGGGGCGACTCAAAACAAGTCCTGAAGGGAAACGAGGACATTCTACGCGGAATGTTTGGTGTCGTGCCAGAAGTTGTACATATCAAAGAGTTTGATAAATACTTTACGAGTTTTACAGACAAAAGAAGGAAGCGAAATCCTTGGATGCGTGAATATGAGTATTTAAAAGTTGCGCATAATCCAGCTTTTTACAGGGACACTTTTGAACATTATCCTAAAGCGCAGTACGTGATGGATGCAGTCCTGGCGGTCGCCTACGCACTGCATAACATGCTTGGTTGCCAACCTTATCAAGATTGCTCCAAGAAAATCACAAAGAATTTTAAACAAAGAAAATTTCTGGAGTTCTTGGAAGACGTGAAATTTCCTGGAAAGTCGAGGGAACAATTTTCGTTCGACTATCTCGGGGAAGCTATTGGAGTGTATGACATTGGTCATTTAGGGCTTGGAGATGGAAATTACGACGTCGTGAAAGCTGGCAAATGGGGTGGAAAGGAATGTGATATTCTTGGCGCAAATCTGTTTATGAGTTCCTGTCTCGACCTGGACATGAAAATCATTGATATGGTTAACGAAAATCTGAAGAACCACACACAAGAAGGTATTCCTTTCTCTAAATGCAGCAAAGACTGTCCACCTGGTTACCACAAAAATCCAGAGAAGAACCACGCAAAATGTTGCTGGGAGTGCCGTCTGTGCAGTGGTAATACTATCACGAAACAATCCAACATGGATGACTGCACTGCATGCCCGCAAGGATATCGTGCAAGTAAAAATCATTCGCGTTGCGAGCCCATACAGCCCACGTCTTTACACTGGAATGACACTCTAGGCGTGATAATTATCTGTATATCAGGTGCTGGCATCCTGTCTGTAATTTGCACCTTGGCAGTTTACTATGTCTATCGTGAGACTCCCGTTGTGCGAGCCTCTAGCAAAGAACTGTGTTACATTCTGCTGTTTGGTATTGCGTGGTGCTACGCAACACCCATCGCTTTTCTTGTCAATCTAACAGACCAAGTCTGCCGAACAATTCCGTTTGTCACAGGTCTCTCCCCCGCGCTGATAGCTGGGACACTTCTCACCAAGACAAATCGCATATCACGTATTTTCAATCGCAAGCTTTTGAAAACAGGGACACCAAGTTTCCTGTCCAAAAAATGGCAAGTGTTGATGGTACTGTGCTTAGCTGGTGTAGAATGCCTTATAGGAGGAGGGTGCGTGCTCTTCAGCGAGACTGGGAGCAAATTACTCATCTCCGAATCTAAGAAAGAAGTTTTGAAACAATGTAAGGAGCTTCCTGACATTTGCACTGTGATTTGGTGGGTGTACAACATGGGGCTGGCATTGACTTGCACGTATCAAGCTTTCCGTACGCGGAAATTACCAGAGAATTACAACGAGGCCAAGTTTATCACCTTCACCATGGTGATAACGTGTATAGTTGTAATAATTTTCATTCCAACATACATAGGAACGAAAGGAATTTACAGGACTACCATAACCTGCTTTGTGTTTATCATAGGCGGTTCGTCAACTCTCTGCTGCATGTTTGTACCTAAGCTGTACATAATTCTATGGAGGCCTGAAAAAAATGTACCTATGCAGCCTCGCTCCTCGACAATCCGTTTGGGAACCATTTCTCCTTCAGCATCGTTTGTGAAGCGTTTAAGTGTAGACTCCAACTTCAGCGACAAGGCCGGGGAAGGAAGAAAAACACGAATTCACTCATTGCCAACGATTGAACTTAGCAGACCCGAAGACGAGGATGGAGAACACCAAGAAGTTCCGAGAGTCAAGAAAACTACTCGGTCCTTCTCGCTCAGTCCGGACATGCTGTCAGGAGGTCGAACAAACCCCGAGCGAGGTCCAGAGCGAAGTCCAACGAGGCTGCTCCCATCTCGCCGAAGGAGTAGTCTCCAGGCCCCGTCTGCCATGCTTTCCTCCATGGAAATGATCGAGGAAGGAAACGAGGTCGAACAGTTCGGAGCCAGTAGCGAGTCTGCTACAAGAAGTGGTGCTATAGACAGTCGAGACCTTCGCGCGGGGTTAGAACGACTGAAACTGGAATTATATGAACTCCAAGAAAAAGATGATCGCTTAAACGCGGAAGATGATGACAAAAAAAGTTGCGAAGATGATGTTTTTCTGCTCTCAGACGTTGAAAATCAAAATGATTATGACTACGGGGATGAGTTTGAAACTTCCAACGGTGATTCTGAGAGTAAAAATCCTACCACTTGCGCTTCAAATCTGGATAATTGTCAACCAGAGACACAAACAACGTCTACGAGTAATAGTTTATCCTGTCAAAACTGTGGTACTATAGTCTCCAACAACAACCGAGATTTCTTGATCGAAGTTTTGCGCGCACACTTGGCAAGAAAAAGTTCAAGCCAACCTGGCGAGAAGACTAAGAAACATTCTGAAAATAGCCAGTCACAACACGGTGACGTTGCCGGAGAACCAGGGCGGTCAAAATGACGCCACTACACGCAAAAGAAAGATAGGAATATTAAACCAGAAATCTCGTGATAGATGTGTTGCGAGGAACGGGTTGGACCTGAATGAAAACAAGCCGGCGAAGAAATTGAGAAATCCTCGCTATTATCGGTGTGAATCTGTAAGTTTGCCTTCTCTCGCCAGCGTCTTCTCTCAAGAAGATTGCGCACTTAATCTGAGCGTAACGAGGATAAACAACACTGGAGATAGGCAAAAAAGTGGTAACAAGTCATTCATCAATGGAGAAAACTGCAGTATTAAGGATGGCTTGTTAAAAAGACTATGCTCTAAGCCAAATGGAAGTGTTTGTCATGTTCTCATTAATGGCGAAGAAAGCGACTTTACCACTGAAAATGATAAACTTCTTTGCGAAGAGGATAAAGAAATGGAAACTGTGCTGTAAGAGCGTTTTTATGTAGCCTCCTACGGAGGTCGTTTTGTTTTCGCACCCAAAGCCTGGTGCAAAACCTTTAAACACTAGAACGCTTTTTCATTGAGTGTCGAAAGAAGCAAAACCAAAATTATTAGAACGACCAATCAGAACAAAGGAAGTTATCAACAGGAACCAATCAAATAATTGAAATATACGCGAGCTGCCAAAAGCGCGGGAAAGCGTGAACAACCGAGACGCGAATGCCTTAGTTTTTATCTGATTGGTTGAAATGGTGGCGCAAATTTCTCGTTGCTAGGAAACACGGGCTGAAACTCTATTACTAAGAAAGCAACTTTGTAAAGAAACTTTCACGCACTATCGCGTGACAACTTCAGTGGATGCTACCAAAAGCATCTAACGCAGGTGATTGAAATTAGACACACAAAGAAATTCAGTAAATAAATGATATATATACATATACATACCCAAATCGTTAGTGGGTTTTCTAGAGTCAAGAAATCACGACAATTCTTTATAAAAAAAAAACAAGACACTAAGCTGCTCTTTAAAGGAGTACAATCCGTTAGTAAATCAGCAGTGTTCGAATAAAAAAGCAGCTTCAAATTTTTTCATCGTCAGTAGTTCATCAGACTTGATCACTGACAGATTTGCAGAGAGGCTTCAAAATCTCACTCTTCTCTATCAAGACAGAGCATTTTTTGTTGAATTTCGTTCTCCTTGCCATCTCCATAATTGGAAAGCGAAAAACAAAACAACAAAAAAGTTGTACTCCCAAGATCCATTACCAATTCTACTTACTGTCTGTCAGAATTCTCATGAAGTTAGTTCAAGGAATTTGGTATTGGATCAGCTAATATTCCACTATTCACTTTTCTACCTGATGTTATATTGATATTGTAAGGAGAAATTCTATCTTGGTCACTCTTGGGAGTTAACTAAAGTGTTAAGCATCTTTGTCTCTTTGAAAGTTTTTTGTCTTTAAGCCCCAAAGTCAAGATTTAACATCTATATTCTCTGCAATGGTATGCGCATGGTTTTCTCGGTCAGCAATTTCCTACAATGTGCATGGTGATAGCCCATTACTATTTGCTGGTCAGTTTTTTCACTCTCACAACCTGAACTGATAATATTGAGGTAATTCTGTGGGGAGAAATTTGAAGTTGAGCCCTTTCACTGCCATGAGTGACCAATAAACAAAGTGACAGCGGTTGAGCATGGTCTGTACCCTTATGGACAACAATATCCGTCATCGCAGTAGTCAAAATGTTGTAGACTCATGAGGCCCAGCCAAGTGAGTCCACATCAAATTTTGACCACTGCGTTGACGAATATTGATGTTAAAATATTCCCAAATCATCCATGTTTGAGTTAACAAATGGTAAACACCACAGTGTACACTATTGAGTTATGGATGTGCGCGGGAGGTTGCTAAGTACGAAAGAAGCGTAAGAGTCGTGCAAGGCGATAGCCAAGAGCGACTCTAGCTTCTTGAGTGCTTAGCAAACCTCCCAAGTACATCCATAACTCAATAGTATATGCTGTGGTGTTTACCATTTGTTTTATAACATAACATCGATACATTGAAGCTAACGAGTTCCCTTTTATTTAACAAATCTTACGCAAGCAGAAAAAACAAGCGCACACGGAAAAATAGTCTTTCCATTTGCTCACGTCAGCAGCGTACACCTATAAGAAAATGAGGGACGCTAAATTGACCAATCAGAGCACGCGCTTTACTTTGGTTATGTTATAAAGCGGATTTGGGGCACAGTATGAGACATGACACAAGCAGCATTGTCTGTACTCTTACTGGTGATGACAAATTGGCCAATCAGATTGCGACAATACTGCCAACTATGAAGCCTGCAGTGCCGGCGAATTTTGGGCATACGAGTGCACATTTTCATATTAGGCTGCCATCTTAGATTTGGTAACTGTGGAGGATTGGGGCAAGGAAATATATATTTCCTCCCCCCAATCCTCCACAGTTACCAAATCTAAGATGGCGGCCTAAAACGAAAATGTGCACTCGTGCGCCCAAAATACACCAGCACTGCAGGCTACCAACTATAGTAAAATAACAAATTTCTCTGAACAAAATCCCATTCCTTTGTAAAAGCGTAAAGCCTGCAGTAGACCCTCACTATCAACAAATTTTTTTCTGCACCCACAAGAAATTCCAATGTCTTGAGTGACGTGAGCCAGCAAAGGGTCTGAGACTGATACATTTTTTAATAGTGTCAGGCCCCTGGCAAACTTAGAAAGGTGTTAAAAAATGATAGATTTTGTTTGATTTTTTTTCCTTTACATATAAATGAATGGATCTCAAGAGTGAAAGAATTTGAGGGTTAGTGGCTTGCCACCTCACATTCAGAAATCACAGTGATTCTTTCAGAAGCCAACTTTTCCAAAATTACCAAGTTGACACCCCTATTGTGGCCAGCCCTCCTGTAAAAACACAGATTAGATTCTTGTAGCCTGTTCCAGGCTGTCAGTTTGTGGATATAAATGAATAGTGAAGGCCTCAGCCCCTTCTTCATCACTTGTACCTTCTCAAGGCACGATACTAAAGCACATCTCAGAAATCAAAGAGTTGAAAATATCAAAAAAAAGACATAAAACACAACCTGGTGTTCAAAATCCAAAGAATTTATGAAAAATCTCATTGACCAAATAACGACTTACAATTTACAAACTGTTACCTTAGGTCATCAGTTTTAAGAATCCTTATACCCCTGTGACAATGTTCCAACTTGCATAGAAATCTCTTCACACATTACAATTCACACCTGATCACACCTTCTGTATCTTTAAAAGGACCAACTAGTTAACTGTTCTTAGGAGGCTGCCACTCTTCGATCTTTGGCCGAGTAGTGCTGTACGGAACATATTCCAATTTGGTGCCTGTTTTGTTAGTTTCGTGAGCTTGAATAAACTTTCTTTCCTCTGGCGGTACTTTTGTGGGAGGGTCATCCGTCATGTAGTGCATCCAACGATGCCATTCCGCGGGAATCTGGCTAGCATCGAAGGTGTAACGATCCACGTAAGGGTAAACAACAAAACGATTTCTGCCCATGAAGTACGTGTTATTTTCGAAGTACTTATTTCCATATTTGTCTGTTCCAATCAGAGTTCCTGTACGGAGATTTGTCTCTCGTAGAATCCTCTAAAATGAAGCCTTCCAGCCACCAGCAACTTTTATGGCAGTTAGCTCGGCTCGAAACGCGTTCAAAAAGTACGACATCGTTCCTCAATGCCTTCAGGCAAAATGGCTGATATTTTCCTTCGCCGGGCGCAGTTCTTTCTGGGTAATATTTCAGTTACAATGATCAGCGGATTATCGTTGCAGAGCAATGGCGAACAGTGCAGATCAAGCATAGATCGAACGTAGATCACAGATTCTTAATTTTGTCACTTTGTTACCCGAGGTTCCTCTTCATACACTTAAAAATGGTATGTAGAATTTGAATTTGTAATTATTTGGCTTCCAGTTTGATATTTTTCTTTCTTAGGAACACTTTTTTTAACCTATTATTCGAAGCTTATAAGAGTAAACGAAGCAATCATTTTTAAAGGTTGTCTATGTTTCTCCTTTCAAGGCAAGAAACGCGGAAAAGGCTATGTAAGTTTAAAATTTGATTTTAATGTTTACCTCTGCAATTATGGTAAAGAGATGAATGGTTGACAGGCTTGCTCGTAGTTACGTTAAAATAAAATTCGTTGAGACATGAATTACAAGCTAGGCCCGTAGAAAAGTTGTTTCCTTAAGCAATAAATTTGAATCTCTCCTTTAGGACCATGCTTGCTCGCTGGTATGACCTTCAAAGAAAGGAAGCGGGCAAGGGGATCAAGGTATTGGCTTCACTGTGTTGGTGGTTTGGCATTCAAAATGGGTGCCACATAAACAAAACTTACATACAATGCAGATGATATTGTTATTAAACTTAAGAAGCCGAACTTACTTTAAAGATACTTTTGTGAGACGATTGGTATAATTTTTCTGACACATGATCACATTTTATCTTTTCTATGGTGGATTCATCAGGAACGAAGGCCATTTCTAGCAACAGAATGTGATAATTTACAAGAAGCTGAAAAGTGGAGGCAGCAGGTTTGTTGATGATTCTTAGTAAATGCATGAAATTGGATTTCACTGTGGCACAAGTCAAAGGTAAAAATGAAGTCTTCAAGTACTAACTTTAAGTCTTTTTTTTTTGTTTAATAGATCATACGAGAAGTTGCAAAGAAAGTTGCCCAGATCCAGAATGGTAAGAGGGCTCTAATCATCCAAACTCTCCCCTATCTGTAATTTGTTACAACACTAGTCTACCATGATGAACATGTCACTTATCTACTCGTCTACAGCTGGCCTTGGTGAATTCAGAATCCGGGATCTAAATGATGAAATTAACAAACTTCTACGAGAAAAGAGGCATTGGGAGGACCGCATTAAAGAGCTTGGAGGGCCAGACTATGCTGTGAGGGGACTTTCTTTTTTTTTTTTTCTTTATTAACTTTAACCACATAGAATAGAAACTAGACAGAATGCTATAACTTGTAATTGCATGACAGTGATTACCCCAACATTCAAGTTTCAATGAAAGACTAACAGGAACAATAAATTATCATAGGTTTGGGTAAAGGTAAAGTGCAATTATTCAATACACTTTTATTGGTTCTTACTTATGTATGGTGGGCGAGAACTGCCATTAAAAATATTCAAATTTATAGGAATTATTTTTGTTTTTTTTCTTTTTAATTTCGATCTATTTCTCATGTAAAGATGAAATAAACAATTTTTAAAAATCGAGTTTCCAGATGGGATTTGAACCCACGACCCTCTGTGATCTAGTTTTTAAAATAAAAGGAAGTGAAAGTAAAATGTAAAATAGAAATAAAATGAAACCAAAGATAAATGAAATCAAATCAGAATTAAACC